GGGCAACGTATACTCATGCGGCAAAAAAGTCGATTAACTGAAAGTTGACTTCTCACTTCAAACTAACATCAACCTACTGTACGTCATATTCGACTACTTTCACAGTACTCACCTCACCTTTTTTCTACCTTCGTCTTTGAAACAGTCTTCTGTTCTCCCTCCCCCTCTCAACTTTTTATCAGTTTGATGTTCCTTCCTCTCTGTGAAGCCTGAAGTCAACTAAAGGGCTAATGATAACCATCAAAATGCCTGCCATTTGATATAAATAACTGTTGAATGAGATTCTCTATGCCCTTCACAAGTTCAACCATCGAACAAGAATTTTAACGCCCCTCCCCCTTCTGGTTTAAGTGGACAAACCGCCAAGGAGCCGCACATTATCGTGATTAAAATATTCTCGCCTTTCACTTACTTTTATATTAGATTCAGTGGGGTGCGCGATAGACTTACCTCCACATGGTGCACCCTGGGCAACGTATACTCATACGGCAAAAAAAGTCTATTAACCGGCATTTGACTTCTGACTTCAAAATACCATGGCCCAACTGCTTGTCATATTCGACCCCTTCCTCAGTACTCATCTTACCTTTTTCCCTACCGTTATGTCTGTCTGCCTCTGTTACATCTGTGAATCGCTCTTCTATTCCCCACCCCTCGACTTTCTGCTACTTTGATGAACCTTCCCTCTGTGAAGCCCGAAGTCAGCCAAATGGCTAATGATAGCTATCAAAAGGCCTGCCATTTGAAATAAAAAAAAATATTAGATTCAGTCGAATGTGGAGTTTGTATAGAGCAGTAAACCATCCAAATATCCACAAGAGTGGAATGGAATCTCAGCTCATCTTACGAATGAAGAAATTGAACAATTGCAAAGCTCCTTTTCATTTCATCTTGTATGAAAAATAATAAATATTCTCATCTCTTTGACAGAATAATTAATAAAGCTTATTTCTCAACACGAATATATTTGCCTTAGATACAGATTGAAATTCAAAGAATTCTGTGCAAAATGAAATGAAAGACCCTTAACTATGGGCTATATTTTGAAAACCATATCGTGATAGCTATTAAAAATGTACAAATTTGCAAATATAAGAAAAAAGGTATTTAATTTATATAGTAAATTTAATCCTTAGCGCTCAACTTAAACTACAATGGTTTAAAATCTTGGTATTTGCCGGAATCAAAAATATGTATTTGAAGAGCATTTTATTGGTACAATTTGGATGTCTCAGCCTTGTTTTAGCTAATCGAACTGCACAGGAGCTCATTTTTCATCTTTTAAATCTTCTCTAATCCTATCCACTTACTGTCTATTTGAAACTTTACCGTCTATATACCATCCCATAAATAGGTATTTTTCTTTTTCGGCATTTAATTTAGTCGTTAGGTCCGTTCAGTCCTCTTTCAAAATAAGCTCCATTGGTACTAGACTCGTAACAGAGGGATCTATTGCCGTTTGAAACATGTTCAATACGTCTATGTAGCCTTCGCCTGATACCACCAAAACCCATCATGTCGACGGCATCAGTCCGCTGGGAGACACACGTAAGTGCGATTGGGGTTTACAATTGTTAACAAAGAAAGAGTTTTCTTGTGCAGTGCGAGAATAATCTTATTAGGCCTCCAAAGTAGCTACAGATCTCCTAATTCAATAACAATTTGGGATTAAATGACCTTCACTAAACAAAGTCACAGTTTTTTGTACATTTTAGTACTTTGCAAAAACTTGAAAATAAAGATTGTATTAATTATTATGAGTTTATTAAAATTCTCTTGGATGAAATATTCCAGTTTATCCGTTATTTATTTAAAATGACATTTGACTCGTCGATTCATCGACAATTATTACGGTGTCTCTTGGAGTGTTCCAGATGAACGTTATGTTGATCATTGGGGTGGATTTTCGAAGTTCCATTATTTCTAAGCTGAGTGAGGCTGAATTCATTATGGATTCCTTCCAAATGACTCGTTTCCAGTCTGTTCAAATGACTCACACAGGTTTAGTCATTGTCGTCTACTCCATACAGCACTTTATCTCACTAAGCTCTGTTACCTTCCGTCTATGTGTCGTTAGATTGGCACAGGAGTCTCGTTATGACTACCATCATTTAGCGTCGGATGTGGGGTCGTTCGATCTATTATAACGAGCCCGTCAAACATCACTTATATTGCCCCTTTCAGGGTGCTAACGAACTCATCTGGCTGGCTATTTAATTGAAGATTATTTATTTATTTATTTATATCAAATAGCAGGCGTCTTGATGG